AAAAAAAACCAATTCAATGTGTTTTTTTTAAATAAATTACTGGAAAATGAGATGAGTAATAAAAATTGAAAAATTTTTTCTGCATACTCTCAAATCATTCATTTTACTTCAGTACCAAGTCATTCTATGAAAATATTTGCTGTATTCGATTTCTATTTTTCAACTACGTTTCAAATTAAGTGACAAACCAAAACTGAAGTACATAAAACATCTATATGTATATACGCTTTATTTTTGACTTGACTTGCTCTGCCCATCCTCTATCATTGTTTTTCTACAAATGTACATTGAAATTTCCAACGACGACATGATGAGAGGTAGTGAACGACGATTGATCATCTCACTTTCAGTTTGTATGCGCAGGAGAGTACATAGCCATTATTTGAATAGATTCTTCCAGATGTAGATCAATCACACAAATATCAGATGATGAACATGCAATTCTTGATATAGAAATATCAAGGCAAATCAATATTGGTAATAATATGATAGAGTTGTATTCATTTTACATGATTAATTTCAGTCCATTATAATTCTATGTTGACTTTTAACATAAATATGATAATGATGTAATGTCATTGACCTAGCTCTCTATGAATATTTAAAATATGACAAAAAAGACATAACTTCATTTACTATGAAAAACGGTAAAAAAGATCCTGTTCACTTAATTTGAGTGTCAAACGATAGATACTATTTATTTGGAATATCAATTAATCGTATACTTATAAATATGAAACACAATAAATTTATTAGACGACATACATAATCATTATGGACAAAAAGGTGATCTTCAGGTATAAAGAATGATTATGATAATGAAAATGTAAATAATTAATTTTAAAATAGAACGCTTTTTTTTTAACCTTCAATAAAATAACATACATAGAGCGTAAGTTTTTACCTACGTCTTTTATCGAATTTTATTTTCAAGAAAAATGATTATTATGTCCGATATTGACGTTGATGTGTATAACGTATTTATTAAGATATTACTTAAGTTTTTCTTATCACTTATATTTTTGTTGAATCTAAAAAACAATAATCTCCTCTCTTACCGAACAACAACAATATCTCTATATCTATATCCATATACTTAGGTCCAACCAAAAGTTTTAAGAATATTAAAGAGTAATATAAAGATAATGAGATATTTTTAATTTTATTTTATCAAATGTTGAGAGTAGTTGCCATGATTATTTATATCAAGTTTAATCCTTTCTAAAAATCTACTAAAAGTTTTTTTTTGACCTCTTTTTCTAAAAAAGTTTTAGCTACCTTGGAAACCACATAAGCTAATTATATTTCATTTATTTAATCACTTAAACTACATTCGATAGAATTAGTTAGCCAAAAATTATATGGTATCAGGCCTGGCGAATATATTGGGTATGACATTATATTGATGTCTTCTTCTGTCATAGAATTAATAACATTGAATGAGTATGAAGTTAACGATGATCGTCAGACAATTTCGTACATTTTGAATCTAATGTCCATGTTTGTTTCCATATTTCATTAACAAAAGGCTTCGGGCAATTTTTAATATAATAATTGTAATCTATAGTCTTGCCATTATCTACATCCAGGATTATTTGATTTAAATAATATATTAAACAAAGTTTTGGTTAAAATCTGTCTTCATGACCTACAGTCTTTGTCAATTCATCTTCAATAAGTCAGTTAGCATTCGATGACTTATGATTAACTTATCTAAAATAAATCGATATCACATCACTAGTAGTGCTAGAATACAACTGACATGTTCGAACAAAACCTCATTAAATTTTTAAAACAAATGAAATATAATTAGCTTATGTGGTTTCCAAGGTAGCTAAAACTTTTTAGAAAAAGAGGTCAAAAAAAAAACTTTTAGTAGATTGTTAGAAAGGATTAAACTTGATATAAATTATCATGGCAACTACTCTCAACGTTTGATAAAATTAAATTAAAAATATCTCATTATCTTTATATTACTCTTTAATGTTCTTAGAACTTTTGGTTAGACCTAAGTATATATAGTCACGCATTACTAACTGCGCAATAAACTTCGATTCAAGGTCAAGAAAAAAACGTTTTCTTAACTTTTATGAGAAAAGAAAAAAAGATAGATATTACTTTATCCGGAAAGTTCGTGGAACTGATATACTATGAAATCTTATATTAACAAGTACTGCATTTATTCAACGTAATGACCTTCACTAGCGATCCCACGTTGTCAACGAGCTACGTGTAGCTATTAGCAAAGGTCATTACATTGATTTAATACAGCATTTGTTATCCTAAGATTTCATAGTATATGAGTTGCACGAACTTTCCGGACAAGGTAATAATAGAGATTGAAGAAAACGAACAAGAACTATTCGACCAAAGAAAAGAACGAAAGAAAAGACAGATACTATAAATCATATATGTATGAAACAAAAGATAGAGAACGAACATATATAGATAATACATATATCATTTTTTATGACACCTCTAACATATATGTTATAACAAGAATATTACTTACACTGGAAGTTTTAATTGAATGAATTGTTTTTTGTTTTCTTATACAGATCAGTCTGAATAAATTCCATTCATATTTTAAACGTCTCATAAAAGAGTATAATACTTTTGATAAAGTAAAGAATACTTCAAATAGTTAATGAAAAAGTTTGTCGATGATGAAGATGAAATTACTAAATAAAACAAACTTTTTTTATTTATAAGTTACATTTCTAAATGAAAAGAACAAAAAGAAAAACATTCTTCTTTTTAATACAAAAACAAAATAGTAATCAAATAGACACAACAAAGAAGTGTTCTATTCATTTCTTGTTTATATCCATTTGATATATAATAATCATAATTATCATAATAGTCATCATGAATATCTATTGGAATATCTGTTGGTTTAGTTGGTTTCATCGTTGAATTTATTGTAGTATGTGGACGATGATGATGATGATGTTTTTTATGACATCCTCCACATGTGTTGTTCAATAAAATAGATATTCCAAGAATAATTAATATTAGTTTGTTCATTATCTCGTTTATCGTACTACACAATAATAATACACTGACATGTACATATATATATATAAGAATTTTCTTTTCTTTCAGTATTTTTTTTTTTTTTTTTTATCGTTAGAAAATCACAGTAAGCGATGATGCATGACAACATACAGGAAGAAAAAAACATGACAATTTATGAAAAACAAAAGGGCGTGCCCGATTATAATCATTTATTAATATTATTATTTTCATCTTCATTTGTATATATTTGTGATTGTTGATGAATAGGTCGTTTTGTTTTATAAAGATCAATTGAACTTTCATCGGATTGTTTTCCAAGTAATTTTGTTTCTTCTATATGTGTTTTATTAACAAGAACTGTTTTATCTAATAAATTTGATTTTTCAATTATTGTTTCAATTGTATTTATATTATTAACTAGACTATCAGGTGTTATTTCATCAATAACTAAACAATGTTGAATATTAAATGGACCAATATTTGTACGACGTATTGATTCTGAAAGTGTACTTGTACGTAAACGTATACCAATATCGAGAATAACTTCTTTTAAATGAATTTCTTGTTCATTAATAACATACATTTCTATTTAAGAAATTAAAATTTTATTTAATAAATCTTGTATATACATACCAATATCAAAAAATGGTGCTTTAAAATTAAGTAATTTAAGACCATAAACTATAGGTGGTAGAGTATGATCACGAGGTTTCCATAAGCCAGCTTTAGCTAATTCAAAACCAGCTTGAGTAAATGGGCTGATTCCTGACATTCTGTTTTTTTTTTTTTATTAATAAAAGATACGTCAAATTAACAGATTAAGAAAGATATATAACTTACTTAAACATTGATGCTTGAAAACTACTTTGAATTAGAGCACAAACACGTTCAGTTTTAGATCGATTTACATGTTCTAAATGAAAAATTCATTCGATATGTTTGAAATATCAAATTAATGAGTATCCCAGGAATAAATTACACTAAATCTTGCTGCCTTTTTTTCTTATTTTATAAATGTAAGAAGTTTTCTTTATATACTGAAAGATATCAAACTACAATTTGTACAAAACTGTCAACTCCAAATTTAAAATACTAAAATCTACTCAGTCATTCAACTAGGATTTTCTATTCTCTACTAACGCTTATTGATTTCTATAAAGCCTTTGCTCGTTAAAGCTGATGTCAAAAGTAAATTACTTAATACCAAAAGTTCGAGAATTTTATGATCTATGTCTTATCAACCTTTGCAAGGTTTTCTGGACTAATGTTTATGAGAAAAAGACTTGGAATTGACAACTGTCGGTAATTTTGAGTGTATTTTTTTCAAAAATTATGTTTTCAAAAGCTAGACTTACTCTATGGAAGATTTATTATTATGCTATCGGATGTAGAATTTAATTGTAAACAAAACGGTATAAATATTAAGGATTGTTTGGAATTAGAACATAAGATGACATAAATCTCCCAGAAAAAAGATTCTTTTTCTGATACTTTCCTATTTTTTATTTCACAACTGTTTCTTTCAAATATTTCTTTGAAAATTCTGAAACATTCATCTAAAGATGCAGAATTTCAAAGAGAACTTTTAGTAGGATCTATATTAAAACATTATCATCAGTTTTTCGTTTTCTTGACCGTCGCAGTTGGGCAACTAAGTAAGTGTTCTTTTTCTTCTTTTTCATTTTTCACCAACAAGAGAAAATTATATGAAAAACAAAGTCGACAAGTTCATAGAACTTGAAATTCTCTATCTTGAAGTATAAGAGAATATTTAAACTATCTTTTGCATGCTTACCTTTTAGAATTATTTGAATATAGATTTCAGAAGTTCTCACTCTTTATTAGAACCTACCGAGGTCTACTGTTTATTAGTACTTTTTTTAGTTACATTTAAAATTATCTCTTTTGTTGAGAACAATTATATAAATAGTTTTAATGACCTACTCTCTAAAAAATATATTCGAATGGAATTATATTTATAGTTACGTACTGTAAGTGCTTTTTTCAACAATAACGCCATTAGCGTCAAGTGTATTTGTTGATTCACCCATTTTGCCTTGAATATGATAGCACTAATATGATACAAAAAAAAATGATTTATAACGATGAATATCAGTCTTCAATAAATTGATTTACTCTCAATGGTTGACCATCTTTAATTTGATCGAGACATTTTGATTCATCATTAATACTCACAACTTTTGATTAAAAACAAATAAAATAAAATGAAATATATTCAAAAATAATTTTACTCTGTAATCCAGATGAAAAAGGTTCTAATGGAAAAATTGATTGAATATCAAAATCTTCTGGTTGATAACGTGGACCTAATGCTAAAATAATATAAATAAATTTCTTTTTTTTCTTCTTCTTCAAATAATACTCTAAATTTGATTTCAACCTTGTATCGTATCAGATAGATCAACAGATGAAACAACCATTTCTTTTCCTGTTTGACTATCACGTATAATATCAACACGATTCATTGGTGGTCGACAAGACATTTGATTGAATGCTAGACAATATTATCTCATTTTTCATTGTTGCAATTTATTCAAATTAAATACCTGATGCTAATCTTTCTTGTATAATAGTAAAAAAATGTTGCATCTTCATATCAGCTGGTTTAAATAGACAAGCAATACCACTCAATTTATCATACAACAATTCTGCTGGTGATCGAAGCATTTTCTTGAAAAAAAATAAACATCAAGCATATTTTTCATATATTAATCTTTTCTTTCTATGTGTGTGTTTTATCGGTCAAAAGAAAAAATAAATATTACAAGTACAAAACCGAGTATGTCAACTCATATTTGTACTTTTTTTTTTTCGTAAAAATAGTCAAAACGGATGAAGAATGAACATCATGGGAACAAAAAAGGATATATATATGTATCTTTCCTACTCTATTTATCCACATGCATTCATAGGAGGAGATAGAATATTAAACGAGGCACGGATAGAAAGGAGAAAAAACAAAACTAAGATTCGATATAGATATACAATAATAAATTTCATACACGCACGCACACAAGAAAATAAATCTCTCTATATATATACATAATAATAGAAAAATATAGAATTACACTATTGTATTCTACTGTTTTAATTGAGGATGAACTTTTATTACATGACCAGTACCCTTTGTTTGTTGACCAGAACGAAATATTAATCGAGATCCTTCAACAACATATTCACATCGATTACGAAATCGAAATGTAACTATAGCTTGTTTATTGGCATGTAATTCTTCCTAAAAAAAAAAAAAAGATAATATTATCGAATAAATATTTCTATATAAAAATAAATAAATAAATTTTTTTCATACTTTATCCATTTCAATAATTAAAGCTGTTTGACGAATATTTTCTATTTGAACAGTTGTTTCAAAACCTTTACGTATTGATGTATTTGTATGATGCATTGAAAGATAAATTTCCGCAACAAATTCAAAACATGCCTCAGGATTTAATGTTGATGAAACAAGTACCATACCCTAATTGATTAATTTTGAGAAAAAAAAAACAAAACGAAATCATATTTAATTATGAATAAAATAAAATTATTTACTTTACGTAATCGACTGCCTCCTATATGAAGTAAACTAAGTGAAGCAGCCTGACCAGCACGAACTATTCGTCTTGGGACTCTATATCGATGTATAGTAGTTACATTAACGGGTAAAAATGTACCATCTAATAAAGGACCAACCAGATAACTTTCTCCTTCTCGTATTAAACCACTAAAAATAGAAAAAGAAAACAATCTAATAGATAGATTCTTTGAAACTTTTGTATTCATACCCTCTTAATGTACCACCAACAACAGCTGCACCCGATTCATTATTTCTATAGATTTCATCAATCTAGTAAAAATTAAAAAAAATTTTAGAACAGAAAATATTAAATAAAAAACAAAACCATACTCGATATTCTACAGGTAATAATGAAAGTCTTTCTTGATCTTTAGTACTCAAACGTGGTGGAAGAATATTAAGAAATTTTTTTAATAAATTAATATTTTCACCAGTTACACATGATATAGTAAATATTGGACAAATACTTTTTTCAACAAACATATCAGCTGCTTTAACAAGATCTTCTTCATTTTGAACAACATATGGTAGAAGTTGTATAGAACTATTTCCATGTTTTAATAAATATGTTAAACAAGTTATTGTTTGTTGTATACTAGTATTTGAACATAAATCTATTTTATTAATTACAACAAAAACTGGTACATCCAATGTTCTTGCATATGAAAAATGTTCACGTGTTGTATCAACTAAATTAAATTTCAAGAAAAAAAAAAGTGTGTGTGTGTTTTTTTTGTTTCTTTATCTCTAATTAATAACATACCAACACTTGATGGTGCATCAACACATAACATTGCAAAATCAGCAGCATGTGCAGCAAGACCAAATAAAGTTGTTTTCATATATTTTGTATGACCAGCAAGATCAATAAATGTTATGACTAAAGATTAGAAGAAACAAAAAAATATAATGATTAAATGAATAATATTTCTTTTACTTTTAGTTGATCGATTACAAATTTCATTTGCTGTTCGACAACAACCATAATCAATACTCTTTAAAAATAAAATAAAAAACATGATTAATTTAAAAAAGAAAATTTTATTTAACTCTAGTACTTAAGTTATACTATTTTCCTATTCAATCTTGTCAAGAACTTATTAGAATCATAATTTTTCTTTATTTAGAATAAGTAATGCAAAAAAATTCGTTTAAACAAATGCTTATCACAAATAGGTTCTGAACATTGATAACGTTTATTTCGAGCTTTTTTTTTGTCTTTGAAATGATCACAAAGCGAACATCGTTTTCGTTTTGATTGTGTCGATTTTTCATTTAATTCTTCCGATGGTTGCTTCATCATAATTCACAGCAAAAACTTTATTTTGATTAGGCTGAAGAGCTATATTCAATTAGATTAGTAATGATTCATTGCATTGCGGACTAACAATTGAACTTGTTTAACATTTTCCTTACCTTGTTATAATTTTGTTAGCTGATCAAGATATGAAGTCATATCAAACACTCGTAATTGACATAAAAAAAGGAAGATGAATTTCTTTTTTTTTTTCATATAGTCAACTTTAAATTTTAAACGATGAAAAATGATAAATATTTTTGAAAGCTGAAAAGATATTCAAAATATTTTCGTTAAATTTCTATTTCCTACAATGTGAGGTCCAAATGGACCCGGGTTGATAGTATAAAAGTTAATAACATACTTCTCCTAGATTATTAAATCCAAGAATTTCATGTGTTATTGATGATGTTCTTCCTGTTTGAATTTCATGTAAATGTCGAAATAAATTAAGTCTTGCACGACCACGTCCATTATCAAGTTCACCATGTGTACAAACACCAACAAGTGAGCTTTTTCCGCTATCAACTGTACCCAATACAGCAACACGTAAATCAATAAAATATTGATCATCAGGAACTTTTCGTACAAGTACTTCAACAATATGTCGATCATTTTCTAATTTACGTTCATGAAGTATTGTTATTGATGCACCTAATCTATCAGCCATTTTTTTTAATGTTGTTAATGATGATTCTAATTCATCACTACTAACACCACTAAATGTACCACAATCTTCAACACCAATTTCATATAAAGCTTCACCTTGTCCTTCTTGTAAACGCCAATTCATTTGAGTTATTAAATGTTCAAGACGAAATGGATTTGGATCAACTAATTTAAGTTTATATTCAATATTACCTTCTTGAGGCTAAATGAAAACATTTCAATTGAAATTTTTTTTGAATAAAAAAACAAACCTCCGGTGGTAATCCGGTAAGAATGAATGGTGAACGAGATACTTGTTCATTATTATCCTCATCATCGCTTGGACCAAAAAGGCTTGTCACATGTTGATTGATCTATATTTCAATAAATAAATAATTTTATTGTTTTATTAAATTAAATTTACTTTATTATAGCTAAATTCTGGTCGTCTATCATTCATCGATATAGGGTCCTGATTAGACATCTGAAATAAAAATACTGATTTAGAAATATATATAGATTAATCAAATGGGATAGAAAAATTCATATTATAGATGCCATAGAAATCCGAAATAGTCTTTGTAACAAAGCAAAAAAAAAACAGCTGATGAAGTTTAATGTCATTCTCGTACATGTCATAAAATGAGATTTTTCTCAGTTTTTAATATGATTGCGAAATATTAACCTACAATAAGTTTTTTTTTTTTTATCTGAGAAACACGAGACTATTATCAACAGATATAAGTATGACCTGAATTTTATATTCTTGAAAGAATTTCATCTTTTACATTCAATTGCATCATCTTCTGTAATAAATCTATGATGGAAAAAATTTCTTTCCTTTCAGAGTCAACATACTTGTATGTCGACATGTGATTGTATGTTTAACAAGAAAAAAAAAACAAGCGAAGGAAAGAGAATAAAAAACAATACAAAAAGAATGAAATATATCTAAGGATCTTCGCGAATAATTCGCCGTCTACGACTCATCATTTCAGTATTTTGTCTTGTATATCGATCGAATGTTGAACGCATAACACCTGACATTTGATTATAATCAGCAAAACGACGCCACATTATACGACCAAGACGATATTGTTCAATAACACCCCATTGACGAGATCTAAAATTATTAAAACAAAAAAAATTTTTTTCTCTTTGCTTTGTATCAAGTTACGATTAAAATAATATTTACGTTAAAGCACATCGGTTCCATCTCCACCAAGGTTGAGTTTCATTTGTAAATCTTGAAAATTCTTCTTCTCGACAATAATTCTAAAATAAATAAATGGAATAAAAAATAAAACAAAATGAAAGATTCATTTTTTACTTTAAATGAATCTGGAAGAACCATATTTTTACGTAATAATTGATGTCGAAATCTTTCAGGCCAATATTTTCGAATAAGTGTACGTCGTTTTATATCTCTTAACATCATTCGACCTGGATAACCAACGAGTTTAGTACGTGATGGTTGATCAATATTGATCATATTAGTAACAGGTGCCAGGAGAGGTAGCTATTCAATAAATTCAAAATAGATCATAAAATGAAGTGTAAATAATTTATTCAACTTAAAACTTATCGAAATTTTTTCTTTTTGTTCAGAATCTAAATACTAACTTCTCAATGAATCTATATTTCTTTTTTATTTGTTGAATACATTTAATAAGAAGAAAAAGACTTCCAAATAAAACATTGTTATTGTTGAGATATGTCATCAACAATTATCGTTCAAACGATGAAAATAACGTTATGTTTATAAATAAGAAATTAGAACAAGACTTAAAGTAGATGAACTAACCATGAAAGATCCCTAAATATGAGTCGTCGTTTTCAATCAACTTTATACCAGTTTGTAGAACTCATTAAACTGATTATGATGGCATAAAGTGTTCTTCTCTATAGATTGTCTTTGATGGGTTAGGTCGGTCTCAATGTCAGAAAAAATAACTGAAAGCTGTTATGTCGGAAATTTTATTTTTTATATTATTTTAGTTCTTAGTATTCAAAATTTTAACAGTAGATATACCTTACTTGATTGTTCATATTTATACAAGCAATATAAATAGAAATCCTAGCTACGTCTATATTTTGAATATTTCAATACTATCAGTACATTAATTAAAGCCTTGTCAGATACCTCGTTTTCAATAGTCGATATTTTCGTATGCTTATGAGAAAAAGTATAAAACATAAGACTGGTAACTGAAATATTTAAAGTATCGACCTAGTTAAAACTTCTATTTATATTAATTATTTAGATATGTACAGTCAATTAAGGTGCATTCATTATTCAAGTTTTAAATGTTGAGAACTAAATTAATGCAAAAAAATAAAATTTGTCAAATAACAGCTTCAGACATTGAAATCAACCGAATTCATCAAATATAATCTATGGAGAAGAACTCTTCATGCTATCGTAATTAACTCATTGAACTTTATCAACTAATATAAAACCGATTGAAAACGAAGACTCACATTTGAAATATGTTCCTTTGTAAGAAAAAATAAATAAATGTAAAATAATTTCATTCTTTATTCTAACAATACTATGATCAACATGTATACCTGATTTGTAAATATATTCAGCCGAAGACTTCTTTGTACTTGACAAAGTAAAAATGACATCTGAAATAATGAATAATTGGAGAAGAAAAAAAAATAATACATTCGAATATTATCCGCAATTATATTTTTATTCCAAATATTAAAAAAATAAAGTTTACATTCACCGTAAAAATTAATAACTACTATTATATAGTATATAATAAAATACCAAAAAAAAATAAAAATATTAATAAAAAATAAAAATAAAAATCATTGCACCGTAGAATAATTATATGACATGAGCAAATAGAGCAACCATTGGACCACTTAATAGTATACTTTGTATACGTTGAAAACCGGCTTGAAATAATAACTGTTCATATTCATTTTGTGTTGCATCATATCCAATACCATCACCACATTCAAGTGCCATTGATATACTAGTTGATAATGTTGTTATATTTTGACGATTTTTATCAATCATTTTTTCAATAACTAATAATGTACCATTACCACCACTTAATTGAATTTTTTTTTTTAATAATTTATAAATTTTTTCAATTAAATATTCACGTCGATCATATGACCAATCATGAAGAATATATTTAAGAGAAATAAGATCAATATTTTTTATATTTTCAATTATTTCATTTGGCCATTTATCTTCAAAAAAATCACCACCTATATAATGAATATTAGAATGTTCCATATTTCTTGATAGAGCATAACAAGTTAATTTAGGTAAATCAAAATTAAATGCATTTATATGTGGATAATATTTAATAATTGTTCGACTAAGATCTCCTAATGAACCACCAATATCAAGTAATGTTGAATATGATGAAAAATTTACATGATCACATAATTCATTAATTGTACAACGAGTAAATGATGACATTATTGTTGCAAAATAAATCATTGGATCATATTTTTGTTCAAATATTGACCAAAGACATATTTGTTCATTACTATCTTCACTTGTTCTTGTACCATATTTTAATGTTTCATTAAGTCGAAGAAAAAATGTATATTGACGATGATGATCCCAAACACCAATACCTAAACCAACATAATTTTCATTTGATGAAACAAGATATTTACGTGTAACATATGTACATTCATAACGATTTGAATTTGTACATTGTTTAAGTAAACGAAGATAAACAAGATATGATAACATTGTTAATGATACATTAGATTTTTTCATTTCTTCATATGATAATGAACTTGTTGGAGATTCATCAATCATAGTAAATAGATTGAGTCGAATGGCAACAAAAAGTACTTGAGAACGAACAAAAGAACATATTGTATGTTTTAATAATGTATCTAATGTGGTAGTGACCAATCTATTCAAATTATTATCACTATATGATGATAGATACATTTAAAACAAATCTAAATTAAATATTTCAATTAAAACTAATTGAATAAATTAGACAAAAATATCTAACCACAAATATATTGACAATTTTTGTTTATAAAGTTTTGTCGCTAGTATTAATAGAAGTAAAATTAGATGATAATATGTGACAGACAGAAAACGACACCATATGGTATCGATATATATATATATATATATATATATATATAGATTGTTTTTTTTCAATCATCAGACAGAAAACTAAAAGTACAAGTAGAACAATCATCTCATTGGTTGACAGAGACTTCATCTTTCATAGACTTCGATTAAGGTGTCGCTAGAATAAGACTGAGTTATGCATGTCTCGAAGTGCTATGAAAAAAAAAACAACTGATTTTATGCATATGAAGTAAAACATGATTTTAAATTGATAGAGAATTATTAATATTCTAGTGATGAAAATATCAAACAAAATTGACAAATTCAAAGAAGAATTAATCATCAATATATGTATATTTGTCGTTAGTTATGGATTCATAATACGTCGTTGAAATTTTGGTAGACTTTCTAAAAATCGACCTAATAATGTTTTCTTGATCATTTCTTTTGAAGATTTGTCAATATTAGATTGTGTAATAATCTACAAAATATAAACATAGATTTTCTATTATTGATCACAATCTATTGTATTTACATGTTCATATTTAACACTAATACGAGGTAAAAGAATGGATAATTTTTCATCATAACTAACATGTGTTAATAAACCTGGTAAATCTTGTGGTAAAATAAATTCATCATGAAGTGTATAATGATGATGAGAACTTCGAAGAACAAGTATTTTTGTTTCACTTATATTCTTTATAATAAATAAAGAATTATTGAAGTTTTTTTCTTTTTTAAATAAATTCATCATTATACTTACTAATGGTTTAAGACCACATTGACCAAATTCGATTTGAATAAAACATGGACCAGTATAAATCAATGATGAAATAATATTTTGTAATTGACCTACAAGAAATAAGAAAATTCATATATTTCAAATGTGTAAAAAATTTCATCAGCAATTTGAAATATTTGTCGAAGTTAACTTTAAAATGTAGAACTGTAAACTTGTTATATACTAATTGAAACTATGGATATTATTGCAATCCACATATAGTCGTGGGTTGAGACTTGGTCTTTTTTTTTTAATGTGATCAGTCTACTCAGTTATACACACATCTAGATGCGATTAAGCTGACCTGTTTATAATAAAAGTCTTGTAGAGTCTCAGAAGTTCTTGCTAGAGAAAAAACCTCATCTTTATCAGCAACTTCTTAGTCTCAGTATCTACTTACATACATCCTAGTTAAATTCACATGGGAAATTTTTCACCAGTTAAAAATTATTTAGTTTCGACGAGTGGCATAATAATTTTACGTTTCTACATTTTAAAAACAACTAATTGACTTGAAAATTGTAGATCTAACTATTGTTGGGTTTTTATTAAAATATCAACTACCATTTTTTGAATAAATTTCGATTGTTTATAGTCATCGAAGTCGAACTTTCGTTATTAGATAGAACAACATTAGAATCATCTATCTGTGCAACATTCATTAGGTTCGAAGAAGTTTCTCATGGATATATTTGTAGATTAACATCTTTTTCGTTGTCCATTTCTATTATTTTTCGTAGCAATCTAGGCTCAAATTATACCAAAATGCAGCCCAAATAGAGCCGTATTTTCTATACTATTAAAACTTTCTTATCTCGATCGTCCGACAGCATATATGGAATGGATTACTAAGTTGTTTCTTAGATCGTAATTTTATAATTGATATAGATGAAAATTTATCTAAATCTATTAGTATTCAATCAGGAGTGCACCAAGGCAGTTGTTTTGCTAATATGGCCTTTATTGTATACCATTATGACCTTTCTAATATTTTTGATCAACCTGAGCATTGTCATCTATTTATCGACGATTTGACTATATTATATATATATATATCTTTCATATTTACATCTTTTCAACAATAATTAAACAGCTCGAAAGGCAAAATTAACAAAGAACTGAATCATCTTTTAAAGTATATTAGAAAATGGCACCAGCCTGTGAATCCAGGCAAATGTGAATTTGTCATATACTATTCATGTTTTAAAAAACCCATTATGAATGTATTTTTTAACTCTACATAAATATCACAAGTCAAACAATTTAAATACCTAGAATATATACTTGATGTTCGACTAAGTTTAAAGACTTTTATTAAATAATAATTAATTAAAATGAATAGGACATTCATAATCTTGAAATACATTCACAAACAATATCCATGAAGAACTTCTTCGAACCTAATGAATGTTACACACATAGGTATTTTCAACGTTTCTCGATCTAATGACAAAAACTCAACTTCGATAATTATAAATAATCGAAAGTTATTCAAAAAATAGTAGTTAATATTTTAATAAAAATCCAATAATCGTTACCTTTTCAATTAAAAGTCGACTCAAACACAGTCATATTCACTTATATGTATACCTTGTATTAGAATAAGTTCATGTGATGAATAAATTATTTTGTGTTCAATTAAATATGATTCAGGTATAAGAAATGCATGTTTTAAATGACAATAAATATGAACACGTTCTTGTTCTGTTGCATTGTATGGCTGAAATAATTTTATTTCAAATACTTTAAAATATATGTATACTAAGGATCTAACAAACCACTATATTCAAATATTCATACAAAACAGTTTCAGCCAATTGTAATGCAGTATAATGCCATATTTTTTCTAAGATTCTTAGATAATTAAAACGTTCAATAAGAACAATTAAATCGTTTGATTTTAAATACCAAACCTCAAGTATATCAATTTCTTATATTTTATTGTTTTTTTTTTTACAAATTTCATTTTCTTACGAGAGTATTTGTAATACATTTACATGTTTCTGTATGTTTTTGTCCATTAAGTAAATCAATATGACCAATAACATCACCTGGTGCATGTAATAATCGATAGACTATTGTTGATTCTTTAGTTGGAAATAAATCGAGTATAGAATCATTCATATTAAGTTGAGAAAGAATACTTCTATTAACATTTAATAAATTTTCAGTATTATCAAAGAATAAATGTTTTTGTTCGGAATCATCATCAAACCATTGAACTAAATCTGCATTTAATAAAGCATTCTTATCAATGATATCTATTTTTTGAACATCAATATGACATTGATGACAAAGATGATGATTTATTAAATTAATTTCATTAGATTGTTTTTGATAATAGTTTGATTTTTGATTAAAAGAATATAAATCTTTTTTTGATTGTATATTTTCATATGAATTATTTTCTTTATTTTTATGAAATTTTTCAATTGATAAAGCATCATAATATTTTGGCATATTTTTTATTGTCTATTAAAATTTAAAAAAAAAGTTTTTAGAAAAAATAAAACATATTTTTATACTTCAACATAACCAGCTGTGATAAAAAATAATGCTTGACAATCATTATTTACTTTATAAATATATTCATTTAATGAAAATGATTTAACATGAAGACGACTCAAAACATATTCAAGTACATCAGGATCATGAAGCCATGGAAATACATGTAAAAAATTGAACTACAATCAATATGATATATTGAAATTCTCTTTAAATCAAACTCACTGGGATAGGAAAGAATAAAACAGATGGAACAAGTTCTGTATGAAGACGTCTATTAATATTCTAAATATTACATTAAAATATTTTGTATATCAATAAAAATAAAAATAATAATAATAATAATAAACACCTCTGTAATTCGATGCGCTTCATTTTCTCCTAATAATCCTTTATTCGTCATATGATGCACCTAATCAAGAAAAGATAAATAAAACGAAAAAAAAAAAAGAAATTAAACAATAACTATATTTTTTGAATAATTAAGTAATTTTTGAATAGCTGTACGTGTTTTAACACTTGCTGATACATTTGGATGTTCACTTTGAATAAAAGCTAAAATTGAAATAATATTCTCTATTGTTGTTTCAAATTTTTTTTTAATTTTACTTAATTCATTAATAATTTCATCTCGTCGTTTTATTGAATCTTTATAAAAATGTTCTCGAATTTGATCAATTTCAATAATACGATGTAATTTTGAAAGTACATCATCTTGACTTAATATATATGCTTTACATAATTCAAGTGAAAGTGTTACATAACGATTAGTTATTCGTTCAAGAAGAATATTTAAATTAACTATTATATACTATAGAAAAGAAAATTAAGATATTTATTATTGAAAAAGATAAATTTATACTTCAATTATTCGAATAAGACGAATTATTTGAATAATAATAAGAATTTGCATCATAGACCAAATTCGATAAGAAATAAACTTAGAAGATATCAAACAATAATATTCAAAAATACATTCAATTATTATTAATATCAAAAGAATAAATTCAATTCGATAATTAATCCATGTTCGAAAATAGATTCGAATACTATATGTATAAACCTATGTTAAAAATTATAGATACATTAAAAAAAACTGTTAGTGCAATCTCTATGGAATTAATATATAAAACACAATGTAACTGCTATTACTAATCATAGGAAGATTGTCTTGGAACACATTTCTTCATTATCTTTTTACTTAATCTTTCAGAAATACAATAATGTGATAGTTAATATATGATAACGAACTGTTATTGATATATATGGTCTGTAATCGTATATCAACAATGCCTGTCACAGTCTGAAGAGATGGGGACGATGCAAACTTCTACCCCATATACTTCAAAAATTCTTTTAGATCGTTTTTCACAATAATGGATGATCGAAAAGTAATTAGACAGAATTTTTGAATATGAGTTCAAAATTTTTATAGGGCTTCTGGTTTAGAAGTTATGAGCTGACCTTTGATAGACGTGACAATTAAGTTTTGACGAACTTTAACACACCAAAAACTACTCAAAGTAGAAGCAAAAATTATTTCAAATACAACAAATGATAGAGCAAATATGTCTCAATAAAATGATTTGTTAATGATTATTTAACTTTAGGTCCTTTGTTAACATTGAGTGTTTTAGTGAGGAATTTTATATCAATTTAGGCAAATCTTCACAATTTCTATGGAAAATAGCCTTGCAAAGTGATCTTAGCCATTCTTGAATGATTATCCTGAAACTTTTGATTGTTACATCATGTTGTAAAGTACAATTTTATTTTTAATTCTATGCAAAAAAAAGGTCGGTCATATAGTGTATGCAGTAAATAAGACTATAGCAACAGAGAACATCAATTTCCTTCGTTCAAACTTAATTTATGGACCTCTAAAAAGGTAGACTCATAAATCAAAAGTCCTAAAAACATTTTGAACATATATTCGGAAAGAACACGAAATTCTGTTTCTAATCCAATGTCTTCAAATTTCCTTAGGCTTTTTAAAAAGACTGAAACGTAAATGAGCATTTTGTCTAATTACTTTTCGATTGCTCGTTAAACAAAAAAAAAAAAAAAAACAACTAACTTTAATTATAAATTCTATTAGATAAATAATACTACAAACGCTTTGAATGATAATTAGAACTAGATTAATTTTATTTGATATATTTATTGAACATCGAATAATTGCTAATGTTATCTAAAAGATAATTATATTTAAAAATAAAATATAATTATAAAATACAAACATTAAAAAGAATAACAAATATGATAAATAAATTGAATCGTTTATGATTAAGAATATTGAAATAAAATAATCGCCATTTATTTTTGGGTATCTTCTGATATTTTCCCCAATCATTACGAATATAAATATATAAATTTTCAAGTGATGATCTCTTAAATCGATATTTAAAATTCAATATTCTTATTGATAAAATCTATATATTTTCTTTTCTTACCAAATATTTCCATATTAAATCAGCGGTTTGTGGTCTAAAAAACAAAATACATGTTTTCTTTCTTTTTTTTTTCTCGAACAAATAAAACTATTTAAAATATTCTTACGTATAATAATATTTAAGTTGATCAATACTAATATATTGACCTTTTCTATCGATTGCAAAATCACAAAGAGATGATAAAATACGAACAGTTTGTGTTGAAATTTCATAATCTCTATATTGTCTCCAAAAACTTGTCTAAAAAAAATAAATACAAATAAATTCTAATAACATTAGATTAACAATCTAACTTTTTGAATATTAATAATACGAATTCTAGCTTCTTCAAATAAATCATCATATTGTATTTGATTAAATTCCATTGATATTGATCGATGACAATGAGAACATTGTATATTATGATCAATTAAATTAATATCTCTATAACTATCATTATTAATCATATTTGTAGTATGAGGATTTTCAATTTGAAAATTTTTTTCAATAAAAATCCAATCAGCATTAGCTAAATATTTATTCTTTTTTAATAAACGAATTTTTTCTTTGACAAGAATACGTAATGAATCTACACATTGTGCCATATAAAGATATTTTGTTTCAGACATTTTTGTAAAATCTATTTTTGTTTTTTGTATAAACAATTATGAAAATAAATTTTTTTTTTTTGAAAGATTTATTTACTTAATATTTTGAGTAAAAGTAAATAAGTAAAATTCATACAACTGGAGAGAAAGACAATAATAGTTGTATATATTAAGATTTGATACTAAACAAATTTCTTTCTTTTTTTCGAACACACAAAAAGAAAAAAAGAAAATTTTTGATTTTGATTTTTTACTTTAAACTTGGATGAAGTATGATGAATGAATTGTTTATCAGCAAGTTGAAATTCACTGACAAGTGCCAGACAAAGAATTAAACATATTGATCCTTTAGAATCGCCCCAAGTACCTAGTAAACATTCTTTCCATGATAAATGATAGTTACAACATAATTTAATACATAGTGTTAATATGATTATCATAACAAATCTATGATTAACAATATAGAAATTCTATTTTGCAAATTATTATTGAGATACCTGACAATATAACAAATTAAATAATTGATAACTAAACAAAAAAATTTATTTGTTTATTAATGAAATTTGATCGGTACCGTAGTGAATGTATTGAGTCAGATGACAGCAGAGTACCCTTTTCAAATACCCTCTGTTACTAGTATGTCACATGATCTTAGTTGAGTATCCTGCTGAGAAGTGTTTCAATATATGGGTACTTACTAGGTACCCGCCCAGTCTCTAGAGAATTCTTTTTGTGAAAAATTTTTGTAATAAATTAGTAATTTTAACATTTAGAAGCATTTAGTAGTCAAGTACTAAAAATTTATAAAGCATTCAAGGATTCCTGTGACATACCGGTAGTCGGGTATCATGAGCTCAGTACATTCATTAGGATAAGTATACGTAAGACTTACTGGCGAGTCCGATCTCAAGAAGAATTGTATTCTCTTTAAATGAAGTCCGTATATTTGGTTTAATCAATTCGGCGATAGTCTAAAAAAAATATTCCTTTGATGTATGGTTATCTTTAAATAGAATGAATATATTTGAATACTAATGCTGCGAGAAGATAAATAATTGTATTACCAATCAATGCTAACATATCCCAAAATCTAAGAGAATAAATAAAGTCAAGTAGATATATTGTTTAAATTATATTCTATTTTAAATGATATACTTTTCCATAAAACTAGCTGCTTCCGAACTGATCGCTGTTTTATGATTTGATAATATAAGACCAAGAACAACAATGGCAATAATACCAGAAGAGTATACTTGTTCACCTATCGAAATTTCGAATAGAAAAATTCGATTTATAACTAATATCTTACATAACCAATAGAGCATATAAGGAATAGCAGTAGTTATGGTAACTTCACTAATTGGATCATCATAAAAATAAGGTAAACAGATAATTTCCAATATACCAGCTATTCCACCAAAACCTATACCACCTATTATAGCTATAGCTGTTGTTTTAAAAAATTTGATTGCTAAAATACAATCATATATGACATTCATTCTTTTTTAACCTGAAATTGTATCATACTATGCCATGATTGATTATTAATAACTAAACTTTTGATAGCATTAAATAAGATAATTGCTAGACTATTATTGATGACTGCTTCACCTTCAAGAATAATACTTAATCGTTTTGTTTTTCCATAATCTATCTAAATCAAGTTCGAGTTAATATTACAAAAAATCACAATGATAAACCTGCTTGACACATAAGTGTTATAGGTCTAGTAGGACTAAGAATAATACCCAATATTAAACATTGAAGAAAAGTCCATTGTTGAAAAAGAAATAAATATTTGTTCAATGTAGAAATACTAAATAATGATATAAAGTAACCAACAATTGAAAAAAGTAGAATGGAATAGAGTGATTTCATGAATGCATGATACTCTGTACGATATACTGATTCGAAAACTAATGCAGGTAGAAAGATGCCAACAAGTAGATCAGGTGATGATGTTGTTATAGTAAGAAATGTATCATTTTTAGTAAAAATATTGAAGAGAATACCACCTATAAAACCAAGAAATATAATGAGACCAGTATATGGAACACGTAAAGAAGCAAATATTGTTTTGAAAAGACCTTTTGTTTCAAAAAAAAAAATAATCAAAAAACGAAAATAAAAAATTACGTACAACCAATAAACAAAATGAAAAAGAGAAACATAAGTTTGTATGGAGCATGATGTTCATCTGTGTCTTCATATATATCTGATTCATTATACAAATGAGAATTTGTTCTAATGTCGATTGAATTCATATAAGACATTCTATCATTCAACCTCAAACGCGTCTATTATCGACAATGTGAATCATAATTAGATACTCATAGATATTATTCACATGATTAATGAATTAGATCGAGCGGCCTCATTATACGCCAAGCATATGGAAGAGTAACGATTAATTACACTATGTAATCAAAGTTAATGATGGAACATTTCCAAGTATAAACTACTGATTGAGTTGATATTTTTGTTCATCAAAAGGAACCAAAAAGGATTCGTGCTTCTGACTATAATAATATTTCTGTAAGACTGTCTTACGAATTGTTGACGTAAAATTTCATCGAAAAGCCAAATCTGAACATTATTAAAATGTTTTTAAAAATTTCAATTCAAACACATATTGTCTTCTCAAGGTATTGAATGTTTCAATAATGATCCAAGCTCATTATGAGACGTTTGGAATCAACTTTTTTTGATCATTCAATAGGTCGAGAAGATATTTTCTATTGAGCTGAAATTTTTAGAACATTCTAATAACTTCGAGATTTACCTATGCGCGAAATTTCAGTTTAATAGTTCGTAGGAACGTCTTATACGTATATAATACTCAAAGGATGAAAACCGAGACAAATGGTTATTTCTCTAGATGGATAGATCATGTACACGAATTGTTTTAAGTTTCTACTAGTTCCATTGTTTCTAGTAATGGCGAAAATATCAGCTCGATTGGCGCTCTACATTTGTAAATGTTTCATCGTTAAAGATTTTCTGTCAAATTATCTAGTGTAGCGAATACGTCATTCTTTTAAAATAAAATCAAAGAAATGATTAATTTATTATTTCCTTTATTTTGATTTTTTACTGACAAAGAAGAGAAAAACACATTAAAAATGAACGATAATAAATTTAAGAAATCTTTTTTTTTAACAAGATATACGATAAAGCTTTTATTAACAAGATTTCTTTTTAAATAGATATAAAAAGGTTATTTTGAAAGATCTATATAGCGTTCTCTTTTCAGTAACAATGCAGCGTTCTTTACTAGTCTTTCAGGAAGTATTGCGAAAATCTTATGAAAAATTAAATTGAATACTCATTCTCTTCTTCGTCTATTTGGTGATCGGACGTGTTTTTTTTTTTCTCTCTATACTAGCTACATACATATATATTATATATACGTTCTGATCACGCGTCGAACGCGTGTCAGGTTATTTATTCATAATTTCATCAATTTTTGAAATTATTATTCACAAATATGGTGAAAAATTATCACCACCTGCCTAATTGTACCAACACCAATGAAAATACTCGTTATCACACAAATTCATCTGCAAATATCGTCGATAATTCTCCTGAATATCATTATGATCCACAATCAAATATGCACTTCAACTATCTGAATAATCAACAACAAAATCGTAAAAATCGTGTTCCTCCACCTACTACAACTAATCTTAGAATGTTAGATTCTCCTGCACAGTCTCCTTGTAGACGTATGCGTGAACAAGATGATGATGAATTTATTACTGTTGTACACAATAAAAAACGTAAACAATTAAACAAGGATTTCGATGATCAATTTGAAGATCCACAACAGAAGTACAATAATCCTAATGCACCTATACAACAGCAGACAAGCATTTACAATAATAATCACAACAATGATCCACCACCTCTACTTGCAACACAATCATCATCAAGAACCATTACTTCTCGTACAATTTCAAATTCGAATCTCAATCCAAGTCAACCAAAACAACAACAACAAAATAAAATTACACCCGAATCTGCACGTTTTGCACAAACACGTTTTCCCTATCAACCCTTCATCATTCGTTTTACATCGGGAAACATTAAAGATAAACAAGTGGCACATGAAATCTCAAAACATTTTAAAGATAATTATCATACTGATATATCAATTTTAAATATTCGTCGATCAATAATGAAATGTCAACAAAATGAGTATGACTATTTGATCTATGTCAAAGATTCAATTACATTTTCATTACTATTTCATCAACAAAACTGGCCCCAACGTATTGGTGGTGAAACTTTTATATTTCCTTCCTCACCATCATTTCCTGCACAGCTTTCATTCATAATAAAGAATGTTGACCTACGTATAAATCTTGATGATTTTGCTGAAGATTTGAAAGCTACCTATCCTGAAATTCATGCTGTAATTAGGTTGAAAAATAAATTTCAAAATAATATTAGATTAATTAAAATTGAAATTCTATCACCAATGATTCGTGAGCAAATATTAAATTCTGGTAACATTCTAGTAAATAGCATTACATATGACGTGGAGGAATATTTATCACCAGCAAATGTGTTGATCTGTTCGAAATGTATGGCCATCGGCCACTTTAAAAAACAGTGTACTCAAATCAATGAAACTTGCAAAGTGTGTGGTTTGTCCTGTCCTGATCTTCGTCATCACAACTGTTCATTGGTTAATAAATGTGTTCACTGTAATGGTGATCACGTTTCAAATTCATTTAAATGTCCTATAGTTAAAAATTTTCGTGCAGAATTAACAAAAAAATTGTTGTTTTCAAATCGTATGTCATCGTCTTATGGTTCAACAAATACTAATATTAATAATACGTATAATTATGATGCAACTGCTTTTCCAGTACTTCCTCGTCCACAACAACCATCACCATATTCGATTACTAATAATTCAATGATAAATAAAATAGATGAATTAATTAGTTCTGTACGTAAAGTAAATGATACATTAGAAAAATTTTCGAAGAAAAACGATGAATTTGAATTATTTATGAACAATAAAATTAAAAATGATGAAATATTATCTACGAAAATTGATCATTTAATAGAAAATGATGTAGAATTTAAGAAAAATATTATTCAACATGAAATTAAAATTGCACGACACGAAAATATATTTATAAAATTAATTTTACCAATGATGGATGAAATCAGTAAATATTTATCAATAATTAATATCGACAAGAAAGGTGGTACATTAGATGCTGATTTTCAAGTTACAATAAACAGAATGCGTGTACAATTGGAAAACGTAACTCAAAATAAAAACTTCTAATGTCACTTTCTCCATATGCAGTTCCTTTTTTCGACCCCTGTACCCCAAAAATGACTTCTTTTGAGAGAGAACTCTTCATTCGTAAAGCACAGGTGAACCTATCGTATTTTGATTTTTCTCTTTGGTCTGAAATCTTATTTGAATGGGAAAGTTCCCCTACACTTACTGCTTGTCTAAAAAGTTGGGAGCCATATAGAGTCATTGATACGTCTTCAATTATTAATTCTCTTCATATTCTATCATATAATGTTCGAGGTCTTGATTTGCGTTATCAGGAAGTATTACTTCTATCTAACTCATTTAAATTCGATATTTTGATTTTACTAGAAACAGGCTTTTTTGATTTTTCACACTGCAGACAGGTTTTTTCTAAATATAAAGTCTACTATCAGAGAGGCGAAAATGCGCATGGTGGTGTTGTTATGTTAGTACAAACTGATTTAAAAGCAGAAAGAGTTGTTTGTGATTTACCGAACGTATGTGTAACTGATATTCTAGAAGAAAATGATAAAATCAGAATTGTAGGAGTTTATGCACCGGAGAGCAAAACATGGAAGTGGGAGGACCTATCACCTCTAGTTTCGAGTAAATGCGTTTTTTATGGTGATTTTAACGTAGATGTAGAAGAGGATCTGCTTAAGGCTGAGTTACTACTTTCATGGGCAGATTCTCACTTTCTTTCACCGTATATTCCTGATTCCATCACCTCTTTAAGATCGAACCGTACAATTGACTATGCTTTTTCATGCGGCTTCTCTGTTTCTATTCAAACGTATGAAGGTGTAGTTTCTAGTGATCACAAACCTCTTCTTTCTGTTATACCAATAAAATCTAAAGAAAGTGTTCTTGCACGTAATATTCATTGGAAAGTTTTTTCGTTGTTCAGTGAGTATGTTTATCCATTTTGGGAAAAAAATTGGTGCTTAAATAGCGTAAATAATGTCTACAACGATTATGTATCTTTTCTCTCTCTTCTTATCTCACGTTGCACTATATTCTTCCCAGTTAACAAATATCGTATTGCTATTCCACAAGCTCTACGAGCTTATATGTCCCACACACGTGCGTTAGCATATAGGCAAAAAAGAACAGGCGATGAAGTATTAAAGATCATAGTTAAACTTAGAAGAAAAATGGCTAAAAAAGAACTTAAAGTTTTTTTATTTAATCAACTATCTTCTTCTTTATCAGCACGTAATACTTCTTCACATCTTTCTGTTTCTTTTTGGTCTCGTACAAAGAAGTTTATGAAATCTACATCTTCTTCTCTACATGGTTTTATTCTTCCCAACGGAGAGATAGTAAAAGAAGCGGAGAAAATGTGTGAATTGAGTGCGGATCATTTTGAGAACTTGTTCAAAGAGTCCGAAAATATTTATAGACCGCATCCATACACCGATGCACCTGAAATACGATGGGAGAATTATGAAGAAGAAATTCCACCAGTCATAATTGAAGAAGTGCTGGAGGTAGTTATGGGACGCAAAAAGAAAAAATCCTGTGACGCGCATGGTCTTTCTAACTTTATGTTCAACTTTTTACCAATTGATTATTGGTCTCTACTACTTAGAATCTTTAATTTATCTTTCGTTAGTAATGTTGTACCTGATCTATGGAATGAAACCAGAATTCTGCTTTTAGCTAAAAAAGAATCCATTTGTGAAGTTTCTGCCACCCGTCCTATTTCTCTGCTCGATGTATTCTTAAAAGTGAATGAAAAATTGTTTTTAACTCGTTTCTCTAATGTGTTAGAACGTAGAGGTCTACTACCAGATACACAATCTGGGTTTCGGGCCAAGTTCCGGCTCCAAACACGAGTGCTACTATTTCTTGAACAAGTTTCAAGTCTCATGGCTAATAGCTCGC